TACTTCTCCTTGTAATTGTTTTTTCCATGCTTTTCTGACTTGTGAACACCAGTTATTTAAGGAGCTGCAGCCATGGATGGTAATGAACTGTTGACTTCTTTCCTAGCTCACCATAAAGATAAATCTACAAATGCTGCTGGAACATCTGCTCTGGTTTAGTGTTAAATGTTAGTTTGAAATCCCTTTTCCTTTGTTTCCCATACGGCTCACAGCAGGCTTCAGTAAAACAAGCAGCACTTGCTAGTCAGGTCAGAAAACACAGAACTGTTGACTCCATTTTGTGCAGTTTCTTTAACAAGCCTACAGATATATTTCTTCATGAAGGCCTCACAGTGAAAATAGGAGACTTTGGTCTGGCAACTGTAAAATCCAGGTGGAGTGGATCCCAGCAGGTGGAGCAGCCCACGGGCTCCATCCTGTGGATGGTGAGCATGACATTCCCTGCTCTGAAATACTCCCCTCAGCACTGTCCTGAACACTCAGCTCTGTCAGTCCTGGGAGGATTTTTGTTCCAGCTGTAGGACAAGTTAAAATGGAAGTGCTGGAGTGCAAAATTTGCAAATTGTGCAAAGTAGGCACCAGGCACCCATGGACTCTCCACTGGGGCTTGTGAGTTATTTTAAATATTTAGGGCTGCCAGTATATCTGGGAATTTGTATTAAAAATATCAGGATGCTTGGCTAAGACTGTTTTGTGCTCTGTGAAATACAAACATCACCTGAAACAGTTCCAGAAGCAGAAATGTTCTTTTCTGTAAAAAAAAAAAAAATTATACAAAAAGCCAAGTTTTTAAAAACTTTCCATAAAAGGATTTAAAACTAATTTACCCAGTGGCATGCAATGTATTTGTGTACATGAAACAGACCCTGGGGGGAAAAAAAAACCCTGCATATTTGCTCATTGCAGGCTTTTTTAAAAAACTCTATTTATTTTATTCATTTATAGCCCATCTTTGCTGAGCTGTCACAGGAGGGGAGGTTGTTTCTGTTTCCTTGGAAGCTCCTGTGATCCCTTATTGTGGTTTTTATGCTGTTGTACTTTAGTGCTTTGCTTAATAATTCTGAGGGAATTCTTTAGGAGGGAGAGAAAAATCTTAGCCATTGGGAAAGTTCGTCTGGTGGTTCACACCTTGTTTTTTCAGTCATCTGGCAGGGTTTATTTTAAGAAATTTCATAATTTGCAAATATCTTTAAATATTCCTGCATTTCTTCCCTGATCTGTTTGATATGTGTTGTTTTGTGTTTGGCTTTCACATTTCCTGACCATGTTTTGGTATCAGTTTACAAGAGATTAGAATTTTGTATTTTTCCCTTTTGACCTTGATACCAGTTTAAGAACTGATGGTGAAACTCAGGCTCAGTTCTGTGTGAGGTGCAACAGGAGTCAGTAAATGTTGCAAATCCAAATAGTAATGTTTTTTTGTAATGGCAAAATGCTTGTTCAGTAAAGCATTGGTATTTTGTGTGCTCTGAACTGTATTGGTATTTTAGATAAGATGTGGAGTAGCCCTGCCTGAACTTCTCCAGAGCCTTAGGTAAACTCCTCAGAGCTTTGGGGGTGCCCTTTGCTCACTCATTTCAGCTGAGCTCCCTGTCTCTGCTTCCCAAATCCTTTCTCTCCTCTTGTGCTTTCTGCTTTGTTCATAGTTCCTTTCCCCTGGCAGGCCCCCGAGGTGATCCGGATGCAGGACAGCAACCCCTTCAGCTTCCAGTCAGATGTCTACTCCTATGGAATAGTGCTGTATGAGCTGATGACAGGAGAGCTGCCCTACTCCCACATCAACAACAGAGATCAGGTGAGGAACCCTCTGGGAGCACATCCCCTTGGCCTCCAGAAATGCAGGGTAAATACAAATGCAAACTAGCTGCAGTGGTGTTGACAGCCTGCTTGGTTTCAGCAGTAAATGTGTAACTGACAGTGCAGGTACTCAAAGGAAAAAATCCCTTGTTCATAAACATTTGAAGTGCCCTGTTAATTTATTCCCAGGTTATAGCTTTTGCTGCACAGTAAAATATTGGTTTTTAATTTGAAGTTACGGAAAATTCCCATTTTGGTGTTAAATATTCTGCTGCTACATCAGGAAGATGGGATTTGGTGCTTTTTACTAAGGGAAAAACCCCAGTAACTATTGTCCAACCTTGGAGTATTGAATATTTGTGTTTGGTCTTTCCCAAGCTGTGCTGTTAGCCAAACCTGCAGGGCTGTGCTGTGCCCTGTGGGACTGGGTTTCATCACCCTGGGGGCACTACAGCTGCCCAGCAGTGAGGCCCTTGTGTAACCTGCTTTTTGTGCTGTGGGTGGGTGTTTTGCAGATCATTTTCATGGTTGGCAGGGGCTATGCTTCCCCAGACCTCAGCAAGCTGTACAAGAACTGCCCCAAGGCCATGAAGAGGCTGGTAGCAGATTGTTTGAAGAAAGTTCGGGAAGAACGACCTCTGTTCCCACAGGTGAGTGGGGTGTCCTGACAGGGCCTGGGGGCTTTGTGGAGAGCCATTAGCACAAGAGTCTGCTCAGATGGAAATTGTGGTTAATAGGAGGTGCAGCCTGTGCCCTGGTTCTGTGTTTACTGCTAACGCAGCTCTTGGCAGTTCGAGTCCGTGGAGCACAACCTGCAGTTGTGGGGCTGAGGCTGTGCTGGGCTAACAGCAGAGCAGGCTTTCAACCCCTGACCTGCCTAGAGACAAACCAAACCCCCCTCACTCCATAAAAGTGAAATCTATCTCTGGATATCCATTTTATTTTAGAGTAGGCTGAGGGAAATGAGAGGCCACTGCTCCTTTCCTTCCCCACAACTCTGAACAAGGAAACAAAATCCACTGGGGGTGTAAATTCATGGAGCAATTTTTGGTATTTCTGCAAGGGATGCTTTATCTTTTCCTGTCACTATGGGGATGGGGAGGGTACTTTCTTAAACTCATTGATGATGAGTAATTAATTAATTAAACATCAGTAATTTTGAAAAAAATGACTTCTTGCTGTTGCAGTCAAGCATTGTTTAGAAAGTTGTTTTTAAATGTCTGGCAGAAGATGCAGTTCCTTCCCTGTTACTCTGCTGGGGGGTGGTTTAGATGCTCATATGAAGAGCCATTAGCACAACAAGAGTCTGCTCAGATGGAAATTGTGGTTAATAGGAGGTGCAGCCTGTGCCCTGGTTCTGTGTTTACTGCTAACGCAGCTCTTGGCAGTTTGAGTCCGTGGAGCACAACCTGCAGTTGTGGGGCTGAGGCTGTGCTGGGCTAACAGCAGAGCAGGCTTTCAACCCCTGACCTGCCTAGAGACAAACCAAACCCCCCTCACTCCATAAAAGTGAAATCTATCTCTGGATATCCATTTTATTTTAGAGTAGGCTGAGGGAAATGAGAGGCCACTGCTCCTTTCCTTCCCCACAACTCTGAACAAGGAAACAAAATCCACTGGGGGTGTAAATTCATGGAGCAATTTTTGGTATTTCTGCAAGGGATGCTTTATCTTTTCCTGTCACTATGGGGATGGGGAGGGTACTTTCTTAAACTCATTGATGATGAGTAATTAATTAATTAAACATCAGTAATTTTGAAAAAAATGACTTCTTGCTGTTGCAGTCAAGCATTGTTTAGAAAGTTGTTTTTAAATGTCTGGCAGAAGATGCAGTTCCTTCCCTGTTACTCTGCTGGGGGGTGGTTTAGATGCTCATTAATTGCTCCTAATGTCTGTGCACTGATGAGGAGCACCCTCCCAGCCTCTGGAACCCCCTGAGGCCTCCCAGCACTGACAGTGATGGGCACAGTTGGGTTCCTCCAGCTCTGTTTTCAGTGCCCCACAGAGCATTAATGCAAAACCTGAACTGGATAAGAATTGAATGAGTGAATGAATGAAGGAGTTAATGACTGAATGAAGGTTTAGATGGGAGCAGAGGCAGCTGCAGGCCCCACAAGCCTCTCAGAGCTGCTGTTTCCCCCAGATCCTGTCGTCCATCGAGCTGCTGCAGCACTCTCTGCCCAAAATCAACCGCAGCGCCTCGGAGCCGTCCCTGCACCGCGCCGCCCACACCGAGGACATCAACTCGTGCACGCTGACCTCCACCAGGCTGCCCGTGTTCTGAGCTGCTCCTGCCCTGCTCCTGCCCTGCTCCTGGCTGGAGCAGCAGGGGGAACTCGAGCTGTGCCTCCAGCCTCGGTGGCCGGGCTCCTCCGGCAGGACCCTCCGCGTCCCATCCCACCAAGAAGCTGCTACGGATTTGTGCAGTTCTCAGCCTGCAGGGACACAGCTCCTCATTGCCTTTGCTACCATCTCTTGTTCTGGGAGAGGTAACAGACTACAAATCAAGAGATCTATTACTATTTTTTTAATAGATGCACTTGAGCCTTATTTTCCCCTTCCCAGAAGCGATGGCTGTTTCTTTGGCAGTGGTTCTGGCTGGGTTTGCTCTGTGCTCAGTGAGGGGCTCTGAGGACAGGTCATGTTCTGGTGCTCTGACTGCCCCATGCCAAGTGTCACCTCACCCTGGGGAGTTGTGCCTGGAGTGGGAAGAGGAAATAACTCTGGAAATCAGCTCCTGCCTAAGAGCTTCACCAAGCCAATGAAATAAGTTCAAATGCTAATCCAACACAAAATAGTTTTGCAATAGTTTTGCACATAGAAGAAAAACTCTTGCAAAAGGATGGAATCTGTTATGAATTGTCCTGCTCAGAGAAGGAGGTGAGCCAGTCCTGCTCTGGTCATCTTGAGAAGCCTCCCAGCTGCCTTTGGTACTATGGACCTGCTGCTGCAGCCCAGGCAGGGGGTGAGGAGTGCTGGGCTGGGCTGGCAGAGGCTGAGGATGTTCCCACCTCCTGCAGAGGCTGCATCCCAGCGGAAGCTGTCGTCCAAGAGATGCACTAGCAAGAGGAAACTGAGCATATACAGTTTTTCTTGTTGATTTGGGTTTTAATTTTGTTTTTATTGCTCCTGAGAAAATGCATTTATTGTAAGCCAAGGTTCCTCTGATTATCTTATTTTAATAAAATAAATTAAATTTTAGGTTTAAGATTCAATGTCATTTTAATGTAGTCATCCACAGTTCCAAGTGGGACATCTGCATTTGGAAAACTCAAGAAATGACATTCTGAATAGTTTTTAAAAACTGATAAATAATAGCAGTGCAAGTAAAAACACACTTGATAAAACAACCTCTACATTTCCAGTCACATGACAAGACAGTTGTTGTACTGTAGTGATCTTTGAGCAGCAGCTGCTTTGGACACTCCCCCTGCTGTGCTCTCAGGCTCTTGCCCTGCACCACTTTGGCTCAATTTTCTCTTATTTACTGAGGTGCAAGTGAGGTTTTTGTGTTGGCTGAACTCCGTGGGGGACAGGAATAGGTGGATGGATCTAAAAACGGGTTTTTTCAAATAGCAGTTGGTAAAATGTGGTTATTAGGGCACAAATGGAAGGCCAGGTTGGGATTTTGCCTTTCTGTGGGTGCAGAGGGTACTGGGGTCAGGGCTGGCACCTCCACCCCAAAGCTGCTGGGCACATCTGCTGCCTTTGCTGGGAACTGGGACCGTCCCTGTCTCCAGCTCTCCCTGGAATGCCCCAACAGCCACTGCAGCCTCTCCTCTGCAGCAGCAAAACCCACAAAGCCCCTGTGAAAGGGAGGGGAGCCAGACCCAGAAATCACCTCCAGTTTGTCCTCAGAACATTCTGGAACAGGACAAGGGCAGAACATGAATCCCTGGGTGATAACTGAGAAGGCCTGTGAGCTTTGCTTCCTAAACAGTAAATTGAGACTTGAAGTGTCCATATAGTTCTGCATGGTTTTTAACAATATGATTGGTATTTGGACTGCAACTCTTGCTAAACATTATTTATCTCTAATTGTCACTTCATTATAAAAAGCTTAAAACATGGAAGAAAAAAACCCCGAAGAGGTAAGTTGTTTTTACTTTAACTCTGATTTCTCAAAAGAAACCATCAACCTGTGATTTTTACACCAGATGATGTGTCTCTTGAAAAAATGAAGTATTTTTGAGAAGTAGGTTTATTTTAACCAGCACTTGATGTCCAGTTAAATGAAATATGCTGAGTGAAGAACTGAGAAACTCAGACATTTTAAGTCCCTGGTAGCTTTGAAAAACAAGTTATCTTTTTAATTTCAGACCATCCCTCATGGCTTCTTGGGGCAAAGTGAATCAGGAATGTCCTGTTTAGGGTAAAGAACATTCTCTCCATTGATTTTTTTTTAAGTGTATTCCTGACAATATTTCATTCTGGAAAAAAAAAAAATGTATGTGTAGGAGCAGATGGAAATGAGCTTCAGTGGGAGGGTGAGGGCTGGGAAGTGTTCTGGGGTAGAAAGGGTGCTTGGGTGTCCTTGACACATTCATCCATCTTGGTGTGTGACCTCCCTCTCAGGGATAATTTACCTTCTGCTTTGGAATTAGTGCTGACCAACTGCACTGATTGGACTTCTGACCTTTGCTGGGCCAGTTTTACCAAGAAACTGGGAACTGATGTGCTTACAGCCACTGCCAAGGCCACAAATTAACTGCAGGGGGGAAAAACGATGGGAAAGTTGCATTTCCAGGTGAGACCAGAGGGCACAGCTGGCAGAGGGGAGGAGCTCCTGACCCAGGAATGCCAAGAGCAGATGAGGGGATAATCCTGGAGCCACTGAGATGCTGGAATCCCAGGCTAAGGTTGCTGCTGCTCCCTCCCAGCAGGGAGCCAGGCCCTGCTGTGCCCAGCCCGGGGCGGCCCTGCGTGCCCAGCTAGCAGCTGCCTCCTGCCCAGGTCTCTTTGCTTTGCTTCACCATTTCCCACCCTGGTGGATCGAGGCTGTGACCATCACTGATCCACAGGTGCTGATTACAAACCTTTCTGCTCTTGACCTTTCTTACACATTTTTAAGTATTATTTTTTATGCTTTTATATTGCTGTAGATAATAACCAAACCAGTTACACACCTGCCTTCCATTGCAACCAAACTGTTCTAAAATAAACCCCACATCTCTCTTTGTATTTACAAACACTGCTCAGTGATTTACAAGGGGCTGAGTCAGTGGCAGCTCCTGCTCAGGCGTGTCCATGCTGTTGTGAACTCAGCAGCCACTGCAGTGCACGCTCAATTCTCCGTTTAAATTCCAAGTTAAAACAGTTGACTTGGCAGAATTAACTTCTGGTACCAGATTTCACAACCCAACTGCCTTTGCCACACCAACAGAAATCACATTTTTAACAAAGCCAGAATTCAGTAACGATTCAGAGATGGGCATTAATCCCTCAGCCCTCCTGGGGCAAAGGGCGATGGTGGCTGAGCTGCTGCAGAGCCACTCCTGGCTCTGGGGCAGGCCTGGCCAGGATTTGGGAGAACACCTCATCGTGCTGAGCTCCCAAGCTCCCGTCAGTGCAGTTCAGGAATCAGTGCAGCTGCATTTGCTGTCCAGCAGGAGCCGCTGCTGCCTCTGAGCACTGCAGTTAGTGTAAAACAGGGCTGGGAGCTCCACTGGCAGCACCTGGGGAGCCAGGCCTGCCCAGAGCATCCACCGACCTTACTCTGGACTCAGGTACCAGCTGAGGTATAATGTACCAGCTCCTTTTTAAGGAGAAAACCCTACACTGACCATTATTCCCAGTGGGTTTTGTAGTTATACATTTAGCTGACTTAGTGGAGAAACAACCCAAAAGCACCCAAACTCTAATTAGCAACAGTTTTTACCAGCTTAAGCTTTCACTGGACCTGTATTTACACTACCACTCAGCTCACAAGACAGCATATGTTAGGCCAGAGAGGGAGAAAACCCTCCTGGGATTAAGGGATTTTTTTCCATGCAGCCAATTTTTTTTTTCTTTTAAATATATTTGAGCCTTTTTTTGTTGTTGCCATATAAAAACTACCTGAAAACTTTACCAGGACTGCACAAGTAACCAGCAGGGCACATTGTGTTCTACCTGTGCTGCAGAGATAAAAGCATGGCTGACAGCCAGCTGCACTGGGGGCTCAGAGGGGCTGTGTGTGCTCCCTGGCAGCAGTGGGCTCCTCCTCAGCCCCAGAGAGGTGCATGAAGAGCTCCCCCAGCTCCGTCACCTCGGCGTCGGCGCCGGGCGCGCTCCTGCTCTCCCTGTCCTCGATGAAGTCCCACAGGCGCACGGAATTGAAGAACTGCAACAGAGAGAGAGCAGCCTGAGCCCCCCAGCCAGCACCCCTGGCCTGGGCAGGCAGCTCCCCATTAAAACCAGCCCCAAAGCTGCCTCTGAGCTCTGGTGACAGCCAGGCTCTCGTGTCCCAGGCAGTGAGGGGACACAGCTGGGGCACGGCCAGCACCACTTTCTGAGGTTTTACCCTTTTCAGCTGCCCTTATGCCAGCACAGGATGGGAGCTGTGAGTATGTGGGTGAAAGCTTTAAGGGCAGAATTCCTGTGAGGAAAGGTTTGGACTGGTGGCAAAAACAAAGCAATGCTATTTTGTAGTTGAAGATGTAGAGACTTTCTGTCTCCAAGAACAAACCCTTGCCCAGGGAACAGCGAGAGGGGCTTTTCCCACTTGTCCTGCGTGGCAGGAAGCACTGGCAGCAGCACAGGTGAGCTGCAGGGAGCTGGGGGCAGCAGGGCCCTCCTTACCCGCACGGTGCCCTCGGAGCTGAGCTGCTTCCGCGGCTTCTCAGGCTCCGCTCGCGTCCCGTCGGGATAGGCGTGGAGGTACAGACACTTCCCTCCAAAGGGACACGTTCCTTTGCCTTGCTCAAAGTACTTGCAGGGCTTTTTCCTGAGTTAATTACAAGAGAGAGGGTTATTGCCTTCAGCTGGAAGGGAGGGAGGAGCAGTCCAGTCCCCACAGCCTCAGTGATGCTCTGGTGACACAGCCAGAGCTTTGGCCTCATTCCTGAGCTGAGAGCAGTGACACTTCCATTTTCCTTCCCTGTTTGCTCTCCCCAGCCACCAACAACCTTCCAGGCAGATAGGGCTGAGGGATCCACACAAAGCCAGTTTTGGCAAGTGAGCTGAAATAGCTTCAGCATTTCTGAGCACTTCTGAGGGAGGCTGAATGGCTGAACTACAATTACACAGCCACAGAGTAAAGCAGGAGTGTGAGCAGAGATGAGGAGCTCTCTGCACAGGGGTCTGTAGTTACATTAAGTTTAAAAATAAAGGCTCAGCAATTGACTCTTAGAGCAGCTAAAGAACAATGTGAGGAGTGTGGGTGGCTGCTGAACTCACCCCACTCCCTGCTTAAATGCTTCAATCAGCTCATTTTTCTTCTCCTGCTCTTCCACCCAGTACACACTGGGGATGACAAACTCGGAGATCACGCGGCACTCGGGGCAGGACCTGGAGGAAAAGACAAACAGAGATGCTCTGGTACCTCCCCACAGACCTGCCACAGCAGTGAGGATCCTCCCCAGAGAAAGGGGATCTGTCACCTCAGGCAGCAGACACCTCCTCCCTCCTCAGCACTGCACTTTGTGTGCGTTTGTTGGGAGTTCCAGTTGGAATAACCCAGTTCAGGGCACCCTGGGCTTGTGTTTGTTTCTGGACTTGAGCAAAAGTCTGCACATTCCTCCCATGTGCAGAAACAAACTGTGTTCTGGGAGTGCAGCAGGAAGCCAAAAACACAGATTAAGATGGCTCAGCCTTTTGAAATGCAAGGAGCTGATGGTCACTTCAATGACATTTGGAGTAAAAGTTGTGCAGAAAAGTCTGTTTTGGTAGAAGACTGAAAATATTTCCCACCTTTTCTTCAGCATGTTTGTAACTTGAGAGATGCTCAAAGAAGGAAACTTCCCTAATTGGATGTTTTAAGTTCTCTCTGAATGGGAACATGTTTGGAACACACTTTTTGTGGAGCTAGAAGATAAAGGCATTTACTGAGACAGATAATAGTGTGGTTAGTGAGCTGTAATTTAGGGAGAAATCCCATAACTAAGCACACACATAGGAAAAAATGGAATTTCTTACTGAAGCCCCCTCACTGAAGTGGGCACTGCAGTGATAACAGTTGCTCCATCAGCTCATGCCACAGGAAGATGGTAATTCTAAAGGTTCTGTGTCAGCTGGTCAGCACTGGGAGCACCAGGACACTGCCACATGAGAGCACTTCCATCTCAGTTCTGAGAGCCTAGGAAATGATGCATTTCCACAAGGGGCAGAGCTTTGCCAGGTCCCAGAGTCCACTCTGCCTACTGACCAGGCAATCAGAGAGGGCTGAGTGGCCAGAGGTCCGATGCAGGGCTGTGGAATTAAGGGAACTGTACCAAAGGACACCCGGTGCACCCTGCTGCTTGTGCAGGCAGCTCTGAGCCAAGGCCTGGGCCTGGAGCAGCTGGAGCAGCTGGAGCAGGCTGTGCTGAGCCCTGCGTGGGCAGGAGCAGCCCCTCCCAGGCAGGAGCAGCACTCACTTGATGATGGGGTTCTCGAACTGCTTGGCACACCTCCACTGGCGGATGCAGGACAGGCAGTAGGTGTGGGTGCAGTTGGACAGGATCCCAAACCTCCTCTCCGAGGCCGAGGGCTTCTCATACACCACCTCCATGCAGATGCTGCACACCTTGTCCTGGCTGGCCTGGATGGCAAAGGCCCTCTCCATGTCGTGCTCAAACGTTGCCATGCACATCTGTCAGGGGAGAGGGCACTGAGAGTGCCAGCCTGGCACACCCAACTCCCCCTGGGAAGGATCTACTGCAGGGAAAGCATGGAGCACTCACTGAGGCATCATTCCTACCTGTCACTGTCAGAGTTTAATTTAAAGAACATTACATTCAATCATGTACATGTCCCAGCTGTCAGACATAAAGATGCCAGGGTGCTCCTTTCACCCCTTTCTGCATCTCTGTCAGAGAACAGGTATTGAATTATTTGGTGCTTCAAACACCCCCAAAAAACATCTCATTGAACAGGTGCCACACTCAAGGTGTTCCTCTGATTATAACTAAGGCCACATTCATTGACCAGATGCTAATTTTTACCCAGATAAGGAATTAGTCTCTTACTCCAGGCTGTCCTCCAGCTCTTCTCACCCCAGCAGTGACAATCCACAACTCATTCCCACTGCCACAGCACTGCAGGGCGAGCTGGTGCCTCAGACAGAGACCTCCCAAAGGCATTCTCCTGGGAGACCTTCAGGGTGCTGTGGGAGAAGGCTGCAGGCCAGTGGATGAGGATGAAATGGCAAAAACCACAAGCTGCAGCCTGCAGCCAATTCAGCTCCAGAGGCCCGAGCTGACCTAGCACCGTTCTCCAGACCAGCAGTACAACAGGAGCTCTGTGGAAGAAGCTCCATCTTCAGAGGAGCCAGCCCCAGCCCGCCCTGAGCACAGCACTCCCCAGCTCCCCCTTTACCATCTCGTGGGCCTTCCTCTGCTCCGGGTCGAAGGGGTGCAGCACCTGGAGGCCGCAGATCTCGCAGAGCTGCCCGTGCAGGTAGAGGCAGCGCTCCCCGAAGTGGCAGGCGCCGGCGGCGGCGTAGGGACACAGCTGCTGCCCGGCGGGACAGCCCGCGGGCCCCGCCTCCTCCAGCCCGCTGCAGATGGCCTCCAGGTACGAGTGCGGCTTGGCCTCCTCGCTGTCCGCAGGGTCACTGCAGCACGGCACGGCCCCCGCGGCGCCGGGCCGCGCCTTCTCCTCGCTGGAGCCGCACAGGTCTGCGGGGACAAGCAGCGGCACTGCACTCAGCCCACCGGCTCCTGGCCCTCCAGATTTAAAGTTTTCTTCCCGGTGCGGTCTCATCTCTAAGCCCCTCCTGCTCGTGAATCGCAGGGATTTTCCCAAGCTGCCTACCGAAGAGTTCAACGGCAGCGTTTATTCAGGTGTTCCCTGCTCACAAACAGGCTGAAAACCACAGAATCACCGAGGCTGGACAAGACCTCCGGGACCATCAGGTCTGACCAATCAGCACTTTGTCATCCAGCCCAGAGCCCCGAGTGCCAATCCAGCTGTCCCTGGACACCCCCAGGGATCAGGACTGCCTTCCAATGCCTGACCACCCTCTCCATGAAAAAATGCTTCCCGCTGTCCAGCCTGAACCTCCCCCGGCTTGAGGGATCACAAAGCTCCTCCTGTGCTGCTGCTGTCTGGGAGCAGAGCCTGACACTCCCCGCTGCCTCCTCCCCCAGGGTGGGCAGAACGCTCCCCTCCATCCCCCAGGGAGCAGGATGGGAGCAGCTGGACAGGACGGCAGGCCGAGTCTGCAGGAAGGAGGCTCCAGGAGAGCTCAGGCTGGCCTTGAAACTGCGATATCCACGGGGACAGCACCTCCCTCCCTTCCTCCCTCCCTGCCCGGGGCCGAGCACAGCAGCCTCCCACTCACTTCTGTCCCGCAGCACCAGCGTCCTCTTCTCCCTCCTGCTGCGCGGGGCGCCGGGGCCGTGCTCGGGGGGCGCCCGGGGGCTGCCCGGGGCCGCGGGGGGCGGCGGGGCCGCGGCTCCGCCCGCCGGAGGGAGCCTCACGTGGTCATACCTGCGGCGGGGAAACCGGCATCACGGCCCGGCACCGAGACACCGAACCACAGCTGCTCCGGGACGGGGAGGGATCCCCGAGAGCCGGAGGGACCGGGACACCCTGCTGGGAAACCCGGGACACCCTGCGGGGAAACCGGGACACCCTGCGGGGAAACCCGGGACACCCTGCTGGGAAACCGGGGACACCCTGCGGGGAAACCCGGGACACCCTGCTGGGAAACCGGGGACACCCTGCTGGGAAACCTGGGACACCCTGCGGGGAAACCCGGGACACCCTGCTGGGAAACCGGGGACACCCTGCGGGGAAACCCGGGACACCCTGCTGGGAAACCGGGGACACCCTGCTGGGAAACCTGGGACACCCTGCGGGGAAACCCGGGACACCCTGCTGGGAAACCGGGGACACCCTGCTGGGAAACCTGGGACACCCTGCGGGGAAACCCGGGACACCCTGCTGGGAAACCGGGGACACCCTGCTGGGAAACCTGGGACACCCTGCGGGGAAACCCGGGACACCCTGCTGGGAAACCGGGGACACCCTGCTGGGAAACCTGGGACACCCTGCGGGGAAACCCGGGACACCCTGCTGGGAAACCGGGGACACCCTGCTGGGAAACCTGGGACACCCTGCGGGGAAACCCGGGACACCCTGCTGGGAAACCGGGGACACCCTGCTGGGAAACCTGGGACACCCTGCGGGGAAACCCGGGACACCCTGCTGGGAAACCGGGGACACCCTGCTGGGAAACCTGGGACACCCTGCGGGGAAACCCGGGACACCCTGCTGGGAAACCGGGGACACCCTGCTGGGAAACCTGGGACACCCTGCGGGGAAACCCGGGACACCCTGCTGGGAAACCGGGGACACCCTGCTGGGAAACCTGGGACACCCTGCGGGGAAACCCGGGACACCCTGCTGGGAAACCGGGGACACGGGGAAACCGGCATCACGGCCCGGCACCGAGACACCGAACCACAGCTGCTCCTGGACGGGGAGGGATCCCCGACAGCCGGAGGGAACGGGACACCCTGCTGGGAAACCGGGACACCCTGCTGGGAAACCCGGGACACCCTGCGGGGAAACCGGGACACCCTGCGGGGAAACCCGGGACACCCTGCTGGGAAACCTGGGACACCCTGCGGGGAAACCCGGGACACCCTGCTGGGAAACCCGGGACACCCTGCGGGGAAAGCCGGGACACCCTGCAGCAGCAGAGCAGGAGCAGCCAGGGCAGGGAAGGGGCTGCTCCACGGACACACAGCATTTCCAGAGGAACAGAAATATTCCCCATCCGTGTCTGGAGCTGGCTGTGTGCCCGAGTGCCCAGGTCCAGGCAGGAAAAGCACACCCAGCCTGCAGCCCTCCCTGAGCCTGCAGCTGCAGCTGATGGAATGGCTGATGCCCAGGCCCTGACCCCGGCCTGGCACGGATCAGCACGGAGCTCCCAGGGCTCCTCAGCCAGCAGGGAGCTCCCCCAGAACCGATCCACAGCCTGTGCTCCCCAGAGCATTCCCCATGGAGATTTAACCTGCAGACTCCAGGCAGAGCTGTGGAATGCTCAGCCCTGCCCCAGCCCAGGGGGACACCAGGAGGGCACTTTGCCCCGAGGCAGAGCTGGAAGTCCCCAAAACTGTGCCCTGGGATGAGCAGGAGGGAGCTGCACCGCGAGCTTCCAGCCTCTCCACCAGCACCTGCAGCTCTGACTGCAAGAACCGGGTGGAAACACACCTGAAACCCAAAGCTCCATTCCCACAGAGCAGAACAATCCCTGAAACGGAGCCGGAGCAGAACTGCACCACTGGAGGCGAAAGCTGCTTTAGGCTCTGGCAAAACTGGCATTTCATGAATGGTTTCCTTGCCCAGGTGCTGTGTGCCTGCCTGGGCCGGGGCTGCCAGGCCAGGCTGCCGGCGGTGCCCAGGCGCGGGGCTTACCTGCAGCGGGAGCCGTAGGCACACTGCCCCTTCTGGTAGTACTTGCAGATGGTGGAGGACTTGCTGGTGGCCAGGTCATGGGAGAACAGGCACTTGCTGCCCTCCCGACACACGCCCTGCAAGAAGTACCTGCGGAGAGACGCGGCTCAGGCGGGCGCTGCGGCCACGCTTTGAGCATCGCTCGGCTTTGCTTTGTTCGTACAGACCCAGCGGGGCTGGCAAAGCCTCCCAGCCCTGGAGCCCGGAGCACAGCGCCCACGGCCACCTGCAGGGCTGGGCACTGCCCGGGCCCCGAGCGCCCTTCCACGAACAAACCCGCGCTGGGCCCGGGGGAGCCTTTCCACGCCGACCCCGCTGTTTGCCGGGCACCCGCGGGCCGGGACCCCGGGCAGCCTCGGGGGGCAGCGCAGGGCTGGGGACAAGGAGGGGACAAGGGGGCACCCACGGCCTCCAGCTCGGCACGGGCCGGCCCCGGACGGCGCGTGGGGGGCGGGAGAGCGGAGCGCAGGGCTCTGAAGGCGCGGGGCAGGGCCGAGGCCGTGCTTGAGGGGTGCGAGGGCTCCGGGCCCGGACGGCGCGCGGGAGCGGAACGAGGCGCTGCGAAGGCGCGGGGCAGGGGCCGAGCGGTGTCGGCGGGGAGCAGAGGGCGCTGAGGGCCGGGCCGGGCCGGGCCGGGCCGGGCCGCGCTCACCTGCACGTCACCTGCTTGGTGCTCATCGTGCCGCCGCACTGCCGGGCCCGCCCTGCTCCTCACGCCGCGCACGGAGGTTCCGCGGCGCGGGGGGGCGTGGCCGCGGCCCCGTCCCGCCCCGCGGCCGCGTTTCCGGCCGGACGGTTTTTGCCGGCGCGCTGGGCCATGGCGGTGCTGCGCGTGCGCCACTGCCGCGCGCTGCTGTACTGCCGGCGCGTGCCGGCGCGCTGCCCCGCGTGCGGCGGGGACCTGCGCGGCGCCGGGCTGGCCGCCGCGCCTGTCCGCCTGCACTGCCCCTTCCGGCACGGCCACGGGCAGCCCCGCGCCTTCCTCATCAGGCCCACCCGCGGCACCTTCCTGGAGTAACCGCCAGGGGGCGCTGCGGGAGCGGGGACGGGCGTGAGGGGAAAGGGCGGGAACGGGAATGGGAATGGGAATAGGGCATGGCACGGGAACGGGGCGGGAATGGGGGATGGCACGGGAACGGGGCGGGAATGGGAACGGGGAAAGGACAGGGGCATGGCACGGGAACGGGAATGGGAATGGGGAAAGGACGGGGCATGGCACGGGAACGGGAATGGGAATAGGGCGGGCACTGAGAAGGAGATAGGAAGGGAATGGGGAGGGGAAAGCGGCGGGCACTGAGAGGGAATGGGAGGGAAAAGGGCAGGCGAATGCGGAATGGGAGGGAAAAGGGAGGGGAATAGGGATGGGAAAGGGGCGGGCACTGCGAGGGAATGGGTGGGGAAAGGGGAAGGGAGTGGGCAGGTAAAGGGAAGGGAAAAGGGGAAAAGGGGAGGGAAGGGGAATGGAAGGTAAAGGAAGGGAGAAGGAAGTGAAATGGGAATACAAAGAGGGAAGGACGGGGGAAGGGAACGAGGAGGAAATGGAATGAATTGGGAAGGGGGCAGGGGGAAGGCAGGGGACGGGACGGCTGAAGCCCTGGGGCAGGCACCCGCCGTGCCTGCCGGGCTGTCCCGGGACACTCTGTCCCTCTGCTCCTCCAGCGGCTACGACGGGCACTGCGACCTGCACGTGGGCATCACCAATTCCCAGGGTAGGCAGCGCCGCGGCCCGGGAGCCGCCCCACCTGCCACCCCTGCTGCCCGGGGCATTCCAGCTCGGAATATCCCGGCATGGGGTCATTCCCTGGGAATGATCCCACCTTGCGGCAGAGCTCCAGAGCAAATCCATTCCCCTGAATGGATTGAACAGGCATTGAATGGAATCAACAGGTGCCTCCCACCCCTGGAATGAAGGCTAGGCTTGCTTTAAAGGAATTACAGTTTGAGTTAACACAATTTTTTCCTAATTCTAAAAACACCCCTAATTAAAAAAACGAAATTAAAATGCACATTAAAAATCCTATTGGGCTCTACCTAGAGTAGATCCACCCTGCAAAACATCAGATGTATATTTCATACAAAGCCAGTTTCCTTTGGGGGTTAAAAATGAAGCCTCATTGTCCTTCAGTTGCTCTGATTACCTAAAGAGCCAAACCCTTGTTCAGTCCACACTGTGAGAAGGAGACCAGGTTTTTGCTGGGAGCCAGGACTGCATTTCCTACTCAGCTGATGGGATGTTGGGTCAGAAAAAACCCCAGAAGGGCTGTGTGTGTGTTGGCCATGAGCCCTCTGCTGTGTTTGCAGGTGTGGTGTACAACTACGACCAGGAGGGCGTGCACAGGGATGGCAGTGGCTGGGAGCAGTGCATCAGCGTCCCCCTGGTGCAGCCACACATGTGGGAGCTCCTGCAGCAGTGGGACAAGCTCCTGGAGGAATTCTCCCTGGAAGAGGCCTGGCTCCCTCACAGGTGTGTGGGTGTGTTTGGGATGGGGTTTGGGGTCATTCAGAGCCTGGTGTCCTTCAGGACATCATTCCTGGCAGCCCAGCCTGATCACCCTCAGCCTGGCCTGGCTGCACAGAATGTTCTGAATTTGAAGTAAAGCTCAGCTGCTGGAATATAAAAGCTCTAAAGCAAGAGGTGGCTTTAGGGAATTTTGCATTAAAGCCCCAGTTCAGTAAAACATTACCTGCGTGCTGCTGAGTACAAAAGTCCAGGCACAATTCCATGGTTATTTTTAGGTGTGTCTGCATTTAAAGGCTGAGCACAGCGATGGGATTCTTGCCCTATTGTTGTTTTTGATGTAAGTGGTGAGAAATGGAGAGCAGGCTGATTTCTGCTCTTGTGGTGCCAGAGCAGGAAAGCACCACTGCTGGGACTGTCCCTCAGTGAGAGCAGCTGTGACACAGAGCCTGCCTGGGTGCCACTGAGTGAATGCAACCATAAAAGAAAAAAACAACCCATCAAATCAAAGCACTTTTCAGCAATTCTCTGTGTGCTGACTATAAAATTTCAGGGATCAAACATTACCCCCCACCCCCCCAAAGGAGATGGAAAATTTGATTTAGAGCAGAATTTTTAGATGTTTATGGAGCTGGTAAAACCATCAGAATTTGTGTCACTTCTACAGTTCCCAGTAAAAGTGCCTTGACATCAATCACTGGCAGAAAGTCAGAGATGTGTGCATCCCTTCTCCTGGCTTTCCCTGGTTTCCATCTGCCACCTCCTGACACAGTGACCTTTTTCACAGCCACACCAGTGACCACTGAACTGAAAACAACTTTAATTAAACTCCTCTGCTTATTTTTTCAGTGGGCAGGAACTGCACTGAACTAATCCTGTAACTCCTTTGGGTTCAGGCCAAGCCTAATCTGTTTTTCTTGAGAGCTTTTCACTTACTGAAGGGTGGTAGAGAAATCACTGCTAGGATTTGAAATCAGCTCCCACTCACCCTTGGTGGCACACAATTAACTCTGGGGCTGCAGGAAAGAGCTGCTGACAATAGCTGGAAGAGCAAAGGTTAACAAGGTAAAAGCCAAAGAAGTACAGAAAATAAGAACTCTTTTTTGTCAAGCCTTGCAGCCCTCTCATTTTTACACTCAGAGTTCAGGCTGGAAGGGACCACTTGTGAGGAATATATTGAACCACTGGGAGGGAGGGGGAGTAACTGGAGAGCATTCCTGGAGTAAACATTCCCTGGGGGTGGGGTGGGTGGCAGTGCCCTGCTCAGGGGTGTTTGGTGATGGCAGTGCCCTGCCTGGCTGAGGGGCTGTTTGGTGATGGCAGTGCCCTGCTCAGGGGCTGTTTGGATATGGCAGTGCCCTGCTCAGGGGGGTTTGGTGATGGCAGTGCCCTGCTCAGGGGGGTTTGGTGATGGCAGTGCCCTGCTCAGGGGGGTTTGGTGATGGCAGTGCCCTGCTCAGGGCTGTTTGGTGATGGCAGTGCCCTGCCTGGCTGCGGGGCTGTTTCCCCAGGTACGAGGAGCAGCAGCACAACTGCTACACCTTCGGCCTGGCCTTCATCAACCGCGTGCGGCAGGGCCGGGGCGGGGCCGCCCTGAGCAAAGCCGAGTTCACCGAGAGCTTCCTGCTGGCCCGCACCAGGGAGGCCTCCCGGTACCTCGGCCTGCAGCAGCAGCTGGCTCACAGAGACGTCTACATCGTGCCCTTGGCTGAGCAGGAGCAGGACAGCGTGGCTGGAAACCACAGCCTGCTGCTGGAGTAGCGATGGGAGAGGAAGGCCTCGGGCTCCACCTCAGGGGTTGAGGTTTAACGTGGTTAAAAACCAGTAACTTCACCCGGCACCTCAGGGAGGATCAGGATACTGAGCTTGTGCATTTCAGGGAAGTTACACACACACAATGTACACACGACAGAGAATTTCCATGGGAACTATTCCTGTGGAAAAATGTTTTGTGATTTAACATTCACTGTGTGCTCTGCAAAGACACTTCACAGCAGAAATCAGAACTGCTGTGGAGTTCAGGGCTTTACAAATGAACTGTGGGAACATCAGCTGTAGCAATTAGAAATGGCCTTTTCTGTCACATTTGTTTACTGATGAGTGAAAAAAGGGAACATATGTTTGTGTGCTGCTAAATCTGACTGCTACTTTCCTTTAATTACTAATAAATACACCAACAAATCCAGCCTCTTTGCCCGTCAGATTTCTTTTTCCATTCTGAACTGCAGGGTAAAGGAAAGAAGCCAAGGTAGAATTCAGATACCTGAATGTGAAGCTGCAAATCCCAAGGGAAGAAACACTTCTCACCCAGATGGGGAAAGGTGCCCAGGCCCCAGAATAAATTTAAACTCTGGGAAGAGTTCCTCAGTTCTGAGCTGTGATTGTAGAAGTTCCAGAGTCCCAAATGCAACAATCAAACCTCTCCCCATATCAAATCTGGATTCACCAAGACTCTGAAGTCAGGTTTGTGCTGCCATATCAGAAATACTGTTCCTAATGACTGCAGTGTAGCCACCACTCAAACATACACCTTTTTCTCTTTTATATTTTGAGTTGGGATGCAGCTTTTCATCTGTTCACTTACATTTTTCAGTAAAACATTCTCTCCAGTAAACATGATACACCTCATTTTAAACAGCATTTAAACACACCAAGCGAGTATGTTGGTGGAAAATGTTCTGGGCCAACAGTTCATCACGAGCTCAGGTAAAAAACAAGAAGAAATGGTTTTTAAAAGGTGAGGTTTTCTTGAGCAGTCAGTTAAAATTCATCCTGCTCGCTGCGCTCACGGGAGGAAACCCAACGAGACACGATCAGCTCCTGAAATAAAACCCAGCAATTATTAAAGAAAAAACCCCAAAAGCTACAGAAAATCAGTGAGGGATGGGGACTGGGTCTGTAAAACTGATGTGTATTACGTGGCCACTGAGATATTTTAGTAGCTGACTGTTTGCTCCTGAAGAGAGCTGAACTCTCACACACTTTTCCCCTTTTATTTCTGACCTTACCTTAGCCCTGCCATCTCCACAGGGTTTTTAGGAATCCCTAAATGCTTACATGCACTGTATCAGCAACATTCACATTCAGATAGGAGATGTGAAATTTACAGAGATCCTGCAAAGCACTTTGCATGACTTGGGGCATGAAGCAGTTTAATTTTATTGCAGCCATGTGTGCAAAACCCAAATCAAGGCAAAGAAGAAGGCACAGTTCTCCCAAGGAGCTGTAAAAAAGCAGGAACCACTCACCTGAACCTTGATTCTCTTCATGCACTCTGGGGTTGACATCTCCTCTGCAGTCATGTCAGAAGGTCT